CTACACGTAAAATAAGAATATGTATCCATTTTAAAAACTTCTGCCTTGATTATCCCTTAATCTGCACCTTTAAAAAAATAAGATTCAAGTGGAACTTGTGCAAAATACCACAAAGAGTGAAGAAGTGATTTAATCACTTTTTCTCTTCTACCGCTGACCTTCAAATTAAAGGTCTTTGCTGCTCCCTGTGAAGGTCAGATACATTATGCTTCATGAAGGTAACGCACTTTTATTTGCCCTTGTTATGCTTCTCTTTCACTGCTAATTACTACTGTAAATCTGTTTAACCTCTGTTGAAATAATGGCTTATTATTGTTCCGACATCTTTGCTTCTCCTGCCTGATCTGTTCAAACCAATTAAGCAAGAGAAGGTTTCTCAAACACAAGCAGTCCGATGGAGGAGCCAGGAACAAGTGGAGATTTAACTGGGTGTTCCCAAACTTACATGAGAGAGAAAATAAAAACTTATCAGTATACATGTAGCTGGTATACTCGAGGGAAAGAAAATAAAAACTAAAACAAGTAGGGGAATGAATCTTTTCTTACCTTATGTCCTTGCATGCAAACGTTTCAAGTTTTTTATAACTTTCAGATATACGTTAATACAAAAATAATAAATCTGACAGTTCTTTTTATCAGGTGCAGGAGGTGGGGGGAGAGTCTGAATTCTCTTACAGCCCTGTTCTTTTTAACAGTTCTAACAGTGCTTGATCCCGTCACCTTTTTAACCTCCTAACTAAGTTTGAAATAACATATATCATTTTGAGAAAAACTGTAAAAGATTAGAAAGCAGGAGAACAGCGCGAAGCCTGCCAAGAGTGTGGTTTATTTTTGATTGCTCTTGCAAACGTGATACCTAATCTCTCATTTAAAAAAAAAAAAAGTCCCAATTCAGTATAATAGTAATTACTGTGTCCTGAACAGCATAGACTTTCATTGGAAGACACTGTGGAATTTATTTTATGTCAACAAAGCAGAAATAAGGGGATTATAGTAAAGTTACAAATAAGACCTGTTAGGGTTTCCTGTTGATTTTACCTCTAAGTACAGGACAGTCGCATATTATATAATTAATCTTCTTTTCCCTATGGTGTTTTTAAATGTCATAAGAAACTAATTTAAACATCTACTGAATAATCTGGCTAACTGATACGCTTCTTGGCAGAAAGATAAACCTAGGAAATCAGTAACATGCTAGAGGCTTTGCCAGTGGCTTGGCAGAAAGTCATCCACCTTTTCTTGCAGGGTTGGTTTTCTGCCAGAATAGTAACATTAGTTGTTATTGGCGGTGTGTGGGGGGGTGTCTGTCTGTCTGTCTGTCGAGTACTAGTGTGAGGTAAGTGGGCGGAAAGAGGACGTAAGGAAGCGAGTTCTCTGTCAAGGAGCGACCACCTGTTAGAATGGGTTTCCATGTTTCATGGAACCATACCTTCAGTCTTCCATGCACTATTTTAACCATGCCTAAGCGACAGGGAGAAACAGTCGGTGTACACACTGTGAACATCTGTCCTGACGTACAGACGGTTCAGAGCTCACCCATCGTCTGCGCGTGTTGAGTGTGTGCATATGCCTGTTTAAGATCTCACACGGTTTGTAGACAGAGGTTAGGTATCTGCGTAAGATACAATTAATCCTATTATTTCACTGAATTTGACATTTACTTCTGCAAATATTAAACAGGGAAGGTAATCTGAGAAAATGTGACCATGTTATTTCCTTTTAAATGAGTATTGCTTTTTATTCATAGCTATTGTAAGATTAACAGTAAAAGTTAGCTCTGAAAAAAGTCTTTACAACAATTTATGGAGATTAATTTTCCTATTTAGGTAAGTCCAGACATTTACAAGAACAAGTCACTTAAATAAAAATAGAATATAAAGCCTATGTTTAAAACATGGCCTTTATTAATGCTGTCTAGTGAGCTCCATATTTATCTTACATTGAAATAGTTCTGCTTTGCTTAAGAAAAGACAGAAAAAGTGCATTTACAAGAGTACTTTTTCTTTAATTTTCTGCGAAAATGGAAGGAATTGGAATCACAAGTTGACAAATGTTGTAAAATGAAATTTCAAGAAACATCAATTTTAGTAATGCTACGCCATCACTAGTGTTTCGTTCTGACTTTCTGCCGTGTGAACCAGAATATCCTGATATACAGTCTAGAGCATCTATGTTATTACTCTACAGCATATTAAACACAGAAAAAGGGGTTAAGAACCCCTTTCAATGTACAAACATGAATAAAAAAATTGATAAAAAAATCACTTTTATACATAATGTATATGCAAACTGTTTTAAATACATGGTTTTGGAATAGTTATTTACAAACTGTATCTGTCTGTGGGACAATCCACAGACAAAGCATACACAGTTGCTTTACTTTATTGTTGCATCTCAACTTTGGGAGATATAAATTCATTCGGCAGTATAGCAAACATAAGAACTTGTGGCAAAGTATCTTAAGGGCAACCCAATAAATTTTGTTCCTCAAAACAATGTAAGTACTAGGACTGCCAAAGTTTCCAAATAAAGTCATAGTTGAATCCAGATGCCCGCTTACAGATCTATGTGGTGGAGGATATGTAGACAGACCCATCTGAAATACAGGCATGGCTACTGGATAAAACCTCCTTAAGAGCCATAACTGGTAAGTATGTTTTATCGAAAGAGTGAACTAACCTAGAATTTTTTTTCCAATTTTATTAATATTTTAAAAAATACATAAAAATACAACATCCAATGTCTGAATAAATATATTTAACAAGTTGCAAGATACCTTATTTTACACAAAAATTTCAGCTTTAGAAATCTTGTTAAATAACTTCATTGTTGTTATATATTTCATTTTTCGTCTTTTTGTAACAAAATAAAAACTCTGAAATTACATAGAAAAAAGACAAAATATTTTTGTCAAGGGATAAGATAGTCCACTGAAAACCTATTCACAATTCCACTGTAAACATTAATAAACATTAAAATATTTGCATAATTGTGTGCTCAAAAATCCTATAAAAGGTGGAAGACTTATTACAACTGTAGTTTTCAGTCAACTACACTTCCTTTCACAATTTATTTTGTCCCATTTACACCTTTAAAACTGGGCACATTGCTGAACATATACTTTGGCAGTTCTGTATAGCAAGTGCTTCCACAACGAGGAACTACTCACCAAGAGTGAACGTACAGCTCGGTGAAAGTGCAGCAGTTACTCAATTCTTTTTGATAATACTCTGATGTCTGCTTGGTGCACTTGCTTTTCTAAGATCTCCCTAGAACACCTGAATGCTTCATTGGACATAACTTTTCAAATTTGATAAGTGCCCTTTCTCTGCATTAACAAAAAAAAAAAAAGAAAAACAAAAACAAACACAATGACAAGCATGTCACATTGTGCCTACAAACCTTCAGTTACCAATGAGCTTAATTTCTCTGAACAGTAAATTAAACAGAAGAAGAGGGTAGGAGGGGAGAACAGGTACAGTCCAGCAGTGGAAGTGTGTACAGAATATACTTGGCAATGTCAAACCAGTTGAGTGCTTTCTGTGGTTGAATTTCAGGATTTATGTCCATGGGAGCAAGTTGCTGGCAAGGCAGAGAAATGTGTATCACCTGCATTCTACAGCAAGCACGTTTTGTGGAGGAGAAGATGATGATGGACTCATTCCAGTGTCTGATGAAGCAGATGACATGGATGCTCCTGTATGTGACACTGAACATAGAGAACAACAGATCAGCATCGGATTATCAAAGTACGCGTCAGAATGAAGGTTTCCTTGGTTATTAGGTTGTTTAAAAGACCTCAAAGAAGTGGCACAGTCACAGAAAACCGATACGGATTTTTTGTCAATTGCTTTAACTGGATGAGTAACCTTACCCTTTCTGCATCACAGACCAACTGAAAAGATAAATCAGATGAATCATTACGCTGACTGAAAACTCAGACTGAGCTCGCACTCGGAAGTCCAAGTTTCTAATACACAATTATAAAGCAGTCAGTGAATGCACTTGTTGGGTTCAAGTTCTGAAAAGCCACAAATATTCTTTCTAAATATGTATACATACGAACAGATGAGAACACTTTTTTTTTCTTCTAAAAATACTATCAGTTAAACTCAAGTTACTTTGAGTTATGTATTTTCAAGAAAATTGATTTCTCATGGGAAGCATAAAGCAAATCTGAAAGTTACCTTCTCTGTCTTTCTTTTTTAATCGTTTTCTTCTCCTGTCTATGGTTGCTACTTCAGACTTCAAGGACATGTAGTATTTTCGTATTTCCTGTAGTTTTTCTTGTAAGAAGGAGATCCTTTCAGTGCTGCTCATATTGTCTAGTTCATCTTAAAAGTGGGAGGAAAAGAAAAAATAGCTTCATCGAGGTGATTTTAAACAAATGAATGCAATTCTTAAGAGTATACAAGATGCAGCATGAAAGATAACACGCTTCCATAACTACGCCAATAAAAGGCCTGCACCTAAATCAGAATCCCCAAATTTGCACATTTTTCTTTCAGAACAAATTTTCTTGTAAATTCTCTCTGATCAAAGTCACTTAAAGAATTCTTACTGAGCTGAAAACTCCATTTGTATACTCTAGGCGAAGCATTCTGGTGGTGGTGTTTCTCTCTGTGTTTATCCTTCTCTCCATCTTTGATGTGAGGCGAAATCACTCTTGCAGGTGATCGGGAAATCTTCTGTGGTTTGGATGCATTTATGTGTTTTACAGGAGTACATTTACTTGAACTGTCCAGGACAGGAAGGTCTTCACTGTCACTACTTTGTCCTGCAGTAAAAGAAATGTGTTTGGACTTCAAAAAAAACCCCCGACTTTTTAAAAATTGTAGTTATAGTCAGAAAAAATGATGAAGAAAAAAACTGTTCCTTCCTCAGAAGATCCCAGAACACAGACAAGGAAAAACCGTCCCAGATTCAATGTATAACCTTATCAGACACAACGTGCGCTGAACTCTCAAGTGTACTGATCGTTAATGCAGAAGTGAAGGGCCTTCAGTTAAAAAGCAATAGTCAAATTTTCTTACAGAAGCAATAAAGAAGCTTATTAAAATAGGAATATTAGAGCACTGATAAGCTACCTTATGTCACATATTTTGGGGTTCCAATATAAAGCAGACCCTAGAATCCCTTTTTTAAAGATTAAAACTCTATTAATATAGGTAGGTAGCACATGATTGTGTATTGTTACCAAACTGCTTTACACATATAAAGGAACAGTTCTGAAACATGACTAAAAGCATAAAAGCTTTAACATGTAACAGAAAATTTTAACCTGATATATGCAAATATTTTAGATTCCCCACAATAATTGCCAAGTTTTACATGAGCATGTTAAGTATGTCTGAATATTGTATGTCAGGTAATTAATATTTTACTTCGGTGTTTAAAAATTATAACAGTGCTGCCACAGGGTCTAAATATATTGACTCATTCAATACAATGATCACCAAAAATGAGCTTCAGAAACACAAAAATCCAGATTTCTATAGCACGTTAAAAATAGTCACATACTTGACATGAACACATACAAGATTTCTTTTGCTGAAAAGTTGTTCTTTAGCATCAAACATGTTTTCTGGACTACATAAACGCACTTCTTCCCATGAGAAACACCTATCGTAAAACTTTAAAGGAGATGCTTCTATTAAGAACAAGCTCCCCTCTCCCAAAATCATAACCAACCCAATATATAAAAATCAGCATAATTGTAAATATTTGGTAAGTGCTAATATACACAGTTATTAAATTTTTTCCTAAAGAAGTAATTAAAAGTAGCCAAGAGATTTCCTAGTAACACTGCTACCCCGCAGCTGGTAAGTTCTCTCCAGTCAACAGCCAATAATAATGATGAATAATAATGAAAAACCCTGACAAGGAAGTCCCATCCAACAGGAATACTGGGTAACAGACCAGTGGGCCCTTAGATGTGTTTATAGCACAGCATAACCTTCCCCCTCTCCCCCCCCCAGGAACGTACCTGTTCCATTCTTTTCATTTTTGGCTGCAGCACTTGTTCGCTTTGGAGTACGCTTTTGTTTTTTTGCCAATGTTCCACTATTGCTATCACTGGGTCTTTTTTGACCTAAATGAGAAGAAGAAAAAGACAAGACACCTCAAATATTTCTGCTACTAACAAGCTGCTCTTATAAGCAACAAAGAAATTTAAAAGCAGAAGACAAAACAAACCGGTCATTTTTAGCAAAGTAACACCAGGCTTAAGACGACTTCAGAAATCATTACAGCAGAGAACGACTTTTCACAGGAAGCACTCACCTTTCTCTCCAATCTCTCTTTCTTGCACGGCTATACTACAATTGCTTGACGTAGTACTGGCTTCAAATCCGTTAGCAGACTCGCTTTCACAGAGACCTTCTTGAGACTCTTCTGCCACGCTGTCGACTTCAATAGTCATGTCGCTTTCACTCTTGATACTGCGGGATTCATCCTGACTAAGAGTAAGAGGTGAAGCCACTGAAAAGCTTGACTGGACGGCAGAGGGTAAGGCAGATGGATTTGGATTTGAAGCATTAGGGTCCGGCTTTTCTGATATTGTGTCCTCACTACTGCTCTTCTCCTTTTCATCCAAGTCATCCAAGTCTACTTCATGGCAGAGCAAAGTTTCAGGACCAATGTGAGGCATGGCATCATCCTCATCTTTTAAGGGAACATTCTCATTTTCTTCAGATGGACGTTCGAAGTTCTCATTCCTCAGCTCTTGACTGTGCTGAACCGATTCTGCCACCAGGGATGGCATTTCCTCATTTTCAGTCCTGAGGGACTCTTCAGCATTCAGCCCTCTACATTCCTCTGCTCCAGTACATTCATTGGTCCTCTCTTCAGATACGATATTTGGCACTTCCATCTCACTCTCTCGTCGATTTCTCTTCTCAGGTGATGCCTGTTCCAAAGTTTTCCTTTTCAAAAGCTTCTTATCTTTTGTAGAAGGCTCTGTTTCACTTTCAGTAGTGCTGGAAATCTCTTTACAGTCCAAGGAAGACATGTCTAACCTTTCAGGTTCTGCAAGAGATTCATTTGCCACCTCTTCTTGGCTTCCTGGTGAAATCTTTGCATTCTCTGAACAGGGATCTTTTGTCTTGCTCCTTCTCCCTTTTCCTTTAGGTGATTTTTCAGCCTCTCTTTTGATTTCTTCTATTTGTTCTGTTTTATTTCCGAAAATCTGAACAATTTGCTCACTTTCTTCAGCTTCCAGTTTCAGTGTTTCTAATGGCTGTACTTGAGTCCTGTCATTTTCTTTCAATGCATGAGGAATCTTTGGGTTTTCTTCATCTAGCTTCTCATCATGTAGTTTTTCACTTTTTTCCAGTTCTGAAGTTTCTGGAGAAAATTCTTCATTCAAATTCTTTTCAGATGATTCATCTGCTTCACTATCAGATGAGCCAGAGTCTGCAAAAAATTTTAAAAAATAAGGAAACAGCACCCTAAATCATCCATTTCAGCACAATTTCTTTTTTCAACCACATAAAACCTTTTTGTCAGTAATCTATGGTATTAACATCAGTTTACAATAGACAATTTCAAACTTAAAAATTCTGCGTTTTTCAACACACTTATTACAGTTCTTATTTTTACTCAAAATGTTTATGAAACTACAATAGTAGTAGTACTTCTACTATTTCCCGAATAAGCCAATATAAACAAATTACAGTTTATAGTAGGGAAAATACTTTCACAGATTCCCACGATCTACCTGGGGGTAACGCCTCCTCCACCTGACATTACAAGAACAAAACCCAAGCCTCCTCCCCTCCACGCACCCCCAAACAGAAAGAAAAAAAAACCCTTCTACACCACAATATGGACATTTCATCGCTAAACTACTGTATGAATCACGCACCATAGACAGAGCAAGCATTGTTGCGTTACCAGAAGATTACTCAGGGACCTGTACTAAAAGGAGACAGTGATTTCACTTCAGTTCTTGTTCACAGAGGCTTAGAAATACCAAAAATATTGCTGTCATTTGTATGTAATTAACAACTCTGCTGGATGATGCAGTACTGAGGTTGAGGACTTAATTACCACAATAAAGGCTATCATTATGCCACTAGATTTGGTCCGTTCATGATTAGGACTGAAAGGCTCTGGCTAAAGAATATGGAATGACTTGCACAGTCATTTCCATGCCATAGCTCTTCTATGAGCAAACTGTGCTCCTCAGCAGTGTCAGCTCAACTACTTCCTCAATAAAATTCACAGGGAGAAAAAACAAAACAAAACAAAAAAGTAAAAAATAAAAATCAAACCTCTTTTCAAAAAGGTACTGAAAAAACCTCAAAAGCATACACAGGACTGAGATCACTCACCGTTTGATCCTCTATCAGAATCAAACATTCCTGAGCTACGTCTCGTCTGCCTGCGAGGTGTTGCTAAAATCAAAATCGAAAGTATTAATTTTTATAGAGTAAAATCTGCGCCAAAAATGTGTTTTGTTGTATTGCTTGAACACTGACTGGTTAAGTAGGACTTTAAAGCTGCTGACAGCACTGTGTTCGCTGAAGTTGTCATATTAATGCACCGCATTACATCACTGTTTACATGCACTTCCATGCCAGACCACGAGTGCACCAGATGTACCTTCCGTTCCATTTGGTAATGGTGAGGAATCTGACAAGTTGTTCCGTGCACTTCTGGCTCCTGATTTACCTTCACTATTAGGTGTTTTGGATAAACTGCAGGTTGTGTTTGATGGAAGAGTAGATTTCAGAGGGGGTCGCCCACGCTTTGATTTTTGTTTCTCTTCATCCTTCTTCTCATCCTTTTCACTGTCGTCTTTATTCTGAGGAGGGGGGAAGAAAAAAGAATTTTTATTAGTATGTTTCCCTGCTGTGATCATCAAACCTCTTCTCCTTTTGCTCTACACTTCTATTGAAAAACTAGACTGTGGACTGAATAACTTTAAAAAACAAAACAAAACAAAAACCCAGCGATAGTAGTAAGTATTGTACCACAAGGAACTTATTGAAATAACCATTACTTTTGTTTTTTTCTTCTGTTTTCTCTTTGGTCCTCCTTTGTCCACAGGCCAGATAATCCGATCGGCTTTCACCCATTCATCGTATCTAGAAGTAAATAACAGCACACTGTTACTACTGCATATAAAGAAGTTTCTTGCAATATGAGACTTAAAAGACTGAATTACAGAAAATGTTTATTAAGGAGAGGTAGGAAAGCAGAGCATATATTTACAAACACATGCAGTATCTGGCATTAGAAAGAAGAATTATATTTCTAACCCATAAAAAAGATTTATGGGATGGGGGAATGGAGGTGAAAACTCCCTGCCTCTTGCTAGCAAAGCACTGGAAGTCAGGGGACTCAGTCAGCTATAAAGCTTGTCAATTATTTCACATGATATACAAAAGTCAGTTTTCACCACACTATGAGTCAACAGTAAAATATACCTTTTTTTTTTTAAAAGGAAAAGTTTTTCAATTATAGGAACAAACTGTATGAGATTCTGAAAAGCACAGATATACTACTAGTGCTCCTCAAAATCTCCAGAGTTATTAATAAGATAAAGGGACACATGTAAGTATTTGGGGGATATCTCCAACACACATAAACTTAGTGTAGCCACATAAAGAAATTTCCTTCGTTTACTTTGAAAAATATGGATTTGGCATGTCTCAAGTTATAGACCAGAAGTGTGGTATTTTAAAAAATTACCAATTTTGTGATATTTTTGTTTATATAGACAATCACAACGCTTTTAGCAATAACAACAAGAAGCCACTCCTACAGCCGTATTGAATATAAAGTGTGGCTGCAAGAAAAGCATTTGATTCATTTTTTTCTCTAATTCTTTGTTGCTTAGCCCTCTCCTACCCTTTCTACATGTAACAACCGTTCTTTATAATCACATTTAACACTGAATACAAGAATAAATCTTGTTGCCAAAATTTCAGTCCTTGATACTCTTAATTGTGGATGTCTTCACCATTACCAGTGACTCCCTTTAAATAAAAGTCTGATGCTGCTAACACTAGCTGACACAATAAATTACAGGGACACTCCTGTGAGGAGTGAGGATTCCTCACTTTAAGCAGGATGGGAACTTGGAAACATACAAGTAAGTACATTCTGAGATTTCAATGCAATAGTGTCATACCACGAACAAAACAACTAACACTGAAAAATGTAACAGAGTCAGATCCTGTTATCTTGTTGATAATTCAATTCAGAGCCAAGTCACTAATTATTTCTCTTTTTTTTTTTCTTAAAAACAAAAATTCTTTTGCAAATAATCCTTTTAACAAACAAAGAAATGAAAGGCAATTTGTTCTCCTCACCTTACATTCCAACCATAGTAATGAACTAAATATAAAACCTCTCCATCATCAATTTCTGTGCTTTTAATACTGGCTTCATAAATTTTCTGAGTCTTTCCACGTCCATATTTTACTTTCACTTTGGTTCCAGTGAGGCAGGGTTCTGCGTCCTCCTCATCCTCTTCACCGTCTGATTCTCCTTTGTTCTCAATTTCCTCCCTGCAGTAAAGTGTATTTGAAATGCCCACTGATTAATGACAATCAAAGTTTTAATATTTAACTGGTGTAGCCAAGCTACTACAAAAGAAAAAGGCTGCAACAAAAATTCTTCTCGTTTTCTGCATCCTGCGCTGCCTCCAAAGCTAGTGCAATATCCAGAAAAATTATATTATATTTTAAACACAATTTATTAGATGTACAACTACTTCAAAGCTTAAAGCTTTTTTATTTAATGAGTATTTTGATAATGCAAAAAGAGGAATAAGTTAACTCAGTGTTTGGCTCCTAAGTAAGACAGGAAGAACTAACTTCAGTTTTTAAAATATACTTGATTTTGACAAACTATGTTAAAAAAAAAAAAAGAAAATTCTTTCTTCTACAGTTTGCTTAATAGGCTACAGTTTACTACCAGGGCTCAGTAAGTCTCGATCGCCATCACAGCAATCCTCTCATGGATACAAACACCATTCCATTGGAAAAGCAGTTGACTACAACAGTGTTTAACTAAGCTTAGAAGTGTCTACACAGCTCTTATTAGCTATATTTACCTCTTATGAGCTATATCTAACATTTAAACATTCTATTTAAACATATTTTCAAGACTTACAATCTAACCTATTTCTACCTGTACTTCTCCTTTCCCTATTTTTAGGGTGAATTTAGCATACTGTTAAGGTTAAACTACAAAAAAGTCACCAAGAAAGAAAATACTGAAAAAGACTATGGGTTTGCTTTTAATGAAACAGATTTGCTAGCCTTCAGGGAAAGATGAACTATCTTCTTGTGGCAAACAATTAAAAGAAAGACGACAAGCACCATCCGCACCACTTAAAGAGAACTCTTAAGTCATCTGACATACCTCTGCAACCTGCTGCACACCCACACTGAACCTTCATTTGAGGCATTCCACACCACAAGATTTTTTTTTTTCGGACTGCACAGTGACACTTTCTTTAAAATAATTGTGTATTGTTCCCACTCCTCAAAGCTCTTTAGAAGAAAATATGCAATTACCCTATCAGGCTTTATTCAGTATCAACTTGTGTCCACACCACTTAGCCACATGGACAAGAAAAAAAAAGTAGGAAAACCAGCTTAAACAGGTAAGACATTGCCCTTGACCACAGCCAAAGTTAGCTAAGAAGAGGTCTACTCTGGTAATAAATTAGTCACCTGCTCACAATTCATTTGTAACCAGGACTATAAATCCAATTCAGCTTGTCAAGCTTATTTTCTGGATGCTCTTTTCCCTTTGCCCTTCCATCTCTCTCCAACTCCTCCTCTTCAACCTACCTCTAGGTTCATTCAAACTCCCTCTTTCCTCCTCCTTTGCTTTATTAGCTGACCCCCTGCCTGCAATACATCAAGTAACAACAAGAACAAGCAAGCTGTAGATTCACCAGCCATCACTAAACACTTAAGCAAAAGCATGTGAGAAGAAAGGGTCTTTTCTCCATTTATATTTCAGCTGCCCATGAGTCTGCCCAAACAGTTGCTCACTATCCATACGGCACCTGGCATACGTATAGCCTGCTCTCCTTGGTGTCTGTACGTACCAGTGTGATAAAAGACCAACACAACCTTGGCAAGACCTTCAAGAAAATGAAAGTGAAAAATACTGTCTGGCATCTACCAGAAAAAGATGCTTCCATAAAGTACAGTAGACTCTACCCTTTCCTGTCTGGCTGAGTGAATTAGTTTCCCCAACTTCCACATTTTGGAAACTGGTCAGATCTCCAATTCTGTGTATACTCCTGCTTGGAGTATGGCTCAAGCACGACACAGACATACTTGTAAAGTGACACAAGTTAATGTTTACCTCTCCCTCTGCCTCTCTTCCTCTTCATCTGACTCTTTATCAGAATCCTCCTGTTTTTTAATTTTTTTCTCTTTTTGCTTTGGTGTACTTTTTCTCCCTAATGGAGTTTCATTTTCTTTCTTTTCTGCATTCTCAGGTGTTTCCTCTATATCTTTGTTTTCTTTGTTACTGTCTTTTAATTTCTCTTGTGTTTTATCCTCTTCACTGTCTTTTTTAGCAGGGGTTGCATCACGGGCAAGTCTTCGTCGTCCCTAGAACAGAAACAACATCAGTTTAACGACTCCTGTCAGTTGTTCTCTTGTATAGCCTCTCCAAATCTCAGCTGAAAGTGAAATACACTATTCCTACACAGAAGAAAGGCTAGAGACAACACCAAAAAGCAAAATACTCTAAAATCTTAAGATAACAGCTTAAAGTCTTGTTATCGAGGAAAAAAGCAAAATAAAGCCATTCTCCTTGGTTTGGAATAACGAGGATGAGCTTCTGATTAACTTCTGGAGGATGTCAGGACAGTCATTTAGACCTGTAAGGTCTGTTGCCCTGACAGAAAGGGCCAAAATTCCTTGCTCAACTACAGCAACAGCATTAATTAATGTGCTTGTATAGGACTACTGAGAGAAGGCATCTTCCGTTCAGCATCTTCAATCCTTGAAAGCCACCTGTTGATTTCACAGAGCAGAAATTTGTCAGCTTTAGAAAATCCATAAGTATCACATTTTTAAAAGGTACTTTGAGTAGCCAGACAACCGCTGTCCGGGACTATCTGCGACTGGTAACTTGGAGGATCTGGTAACTTGGCGATCTAGTACAGGTTTATCATTTTGCTATTAAAAATCTCTTGTATAGGGTCATTGCTTTCTAATCAGAACATTTAAAATACATTATGAATGCAAGATTAATTATTTGGAGGCCATCCAAAGACAACAGTAATGAAGGCACTATAATAATTAAAATTCACAGTAGTGTAATGGTAAATACTTTGGAAAAATAATCATTCATAAGTAGATAGCTGGTGACTGGATTAATAAAGTAATAAACTGCATAATCAAATAGTATTTAAATATTAACAAATTAACATAGACAATGATAAAAAAGACAAAAAATTCTTCCTTTATCCTCTCACCAGTTTTCTCCAAAAACAAAAAAAAAATGAACAAACTAACAACAAAACTAATGTCATCCCAGTAAGTTCATGAAGGCTGATACAGCTTGGAAAAACCACTTGCAGTTAGATAGAAATATAATATATAATACAAATCTAAACTTATGCTTACAGTATGTCTTTTCATCTATTAGTTTAAAGGCCAGATACTTGCTTGTAAAGCTGGTGTGCAAGCAGTACTTTAATAGAATTACATTTTAGTTGAACAGAATCCTTACAACTGGAACAATTTAAAAAGTAGCAATTCCTTGTCCTTCAGTAATCATGCTCTGTTAAGGAACACAAGATGTCCTTTTCACAGAATTAACAGGAGTGCTACAGAGCACTAAGCCAGTCATACTCCAATACCTTAAAAATATTCTTGTACTCTCCATCAGGTTTAGTATCCACTAGCGGATGGGTCACTGGTCTATCTATGTAACTACTAATACAACCCTCATCTCTACAGCATTCAAAGACAAAGGAAGACAAAACTTAAGTGTTCCTCTACTTTTGTCTACACACTGTAAAACTGCAGTGTGTCTTTTATTAAAAGAAGAGATACTGTGATAAAAACCAGTTCAGAGAAATGGGTCTTCCTTTGATTCTTAAAGCTGCACCAGTCCCTTGATACTCCTGCTTCTTGCCGGAAAGCTCCAGGTACCGTGTGCCTGTAGAAATTCTCACCCACAACCAAGACCGCCCTGCTGAGTTTCACCGTTGTGATGATATACAGCTCTCAGTAGCTCTCAAGCCATCCCTGAATCGAAACATGTCTGACATCCAACACAGCCTGAGCAAATCCCATGGTTCAGAATATGAAGAAATAATCAAAACTGATTCTATTCACAGGTAGAACATAATTAACAGTTAACACCAACTCTGCATTCACAGAACCCTGTCCTACGCTTGTACAAGTACGCCAATTCAAACGTACAATCACTACACAAGGGAAAACTCATTATGTAAACTGTTCACTATACAAAGGGGTTTTGTTAAGCACTAAATAGAAATCAGTTCAAACCACTTACCCTTGGGGATCTTAGTTCTATTTCTTCTTTTTCGCTTTCACTGCTGGAAAAATTTTCTTCTGCTTCTTTTTTAACTTCTGTTGGGGGCATTTTTTGTTCCTCTTTTACACTTTCCTCCATTGGTTCCACGTGTTTCTGTATGTCTTCTACCACTTTTGGTTCATTGTGATGGATGGTCCTAAACTGAATATTTGCAGAACGGCAGTACTCTTCAAAACCATAAAGATACCTATAGATACAAATAAAGTTTCATTTATATTTCAGGTTTTATTTTCTATTTATTGAAGTTCATAAAATGTATTTTCTTGCTCACAGAAAGGCAAGAGAAGCAGTAACTTCTGAGGGGGGGGGGGGGGGGGGGGGGGGAAGAGGAGGGGGGAAACACCAACAAAACACACCAAAACCCAAACTCAAGTAACAAATAAAAAGTCAGAGAAGATTTTGAAATGAAACAATTATGCACACAAGTCAAATGGTGAGAAAGAATACACACAGGTGCTTCCCACAAATTTAACTTCATCCCCATCCAATTAAGAATTCATGACAGTAAAGCCTAAGAACATGTACGCTGTTTAGCAAATGCATGATGACAGCTAAAATCAGCCTTGTATTAGAATATGGGCATACAAACAAGGTACCACACAGTGACAAATTGCCATGCATCAGCTTGTTCTCCGGCAACTGCCTGTGTGCACAATCTAATCCAGTTATAGGTGAGAGAAATATGAACTAGCTTATTCATCAAAGAATAAATACGCATGTTACAACATACTATCATGTGTCCATACAACATCATCATTTCCACTGTAACAGCAACCTAGTACATATTTACCAATTACTCTTTTTAGGATAAATACTCTTCTCTATAAAATACAGACCTTAAATATGTGCCCAGTTCAAATCCCACTGAAGATAGTCTGAATATTTTCATCTTCATCAACATTAACATGAGTTGAGTCATTAGCCATCCCTATTCAATCAGCCAAATTTCCTTAGGTTCGAGTCAAGAGAACCTCATTCTTCCCTTTTACTCAAAAAGCCCAATTGTTTCTCGTCAAACTTCCAGGAGGATAAATAATAAAAATAATTTTTATTTAGAAAACGAGCTTGAAAAGTGTCATTCCTAAAAGGTTTCCATTTCAAAAGTTAAAACACAACTGAAAACCAGGGGTCAGAATAAAAAGATTTATGCATTTTTTCATTACAAGCAGTCATTTTACTACTTAATACTGTCACATCCACCATAGCAATGTACACAGTTATGCCCTAAAGCCATTATTCTACAGATTCCACAAAGATGATATTTAAATATGCAACCAGAAACACGTTTATCAACATTTTTCAAGAAGAAACTGGTATAAAATTCTTCTCACTGCATGCAGCATCTACAGACTGAGGACAGAGTCTTGTTAATCACCACAAATTGCAAAGCTGCATTTGCCGAAGCTTTTTTTATAAATTTCATTGTTGTACTCTGAAATGGCATCATCACATGCTGAAAGTGAATGCTTCTTGATAAGAAAATGAGCAGAATTCTAATGTATTAGAGCACCAGGAACTTACGCAGCCCTGAGCAGTCCCTCCTTTCCTCCACCATTTCAATCCTCAGCACTGGAAAATGCTCAGAACTGCTCGTTAACTGAAGAATGTCAACTACTGTTTCACTAAACTATCAAAAACTGCTTGAATATTGTACATGCTACCAAGAAAAAGGAAACATATTTTCACCATTATACAATACGAGGACTTACTTTCTATAAGCAGTTTTTACATTGTAGGAAGCAGCCGAGTTCAAAATAGGAATGCCAAGGTCCATATAAATTTGCTTCCATACAGCACCACTCTCAATCTTTGGGGGGAAAAAAAAAAAGAAAAAAGAAAAAAAGGAAGTTTTCAGGTTTTGTTAACCAAGAACATTAAGGAATGATATCTAACACAGCCGCAAGCCGCAGCCTTTAAGAATGAATAGACATATTTAGTTCAGGAAGCATCCAACACTTACATTGTCACACCCACCCTGCTGATATACCAGTCTAAAAAGTTTGAAGAGATTAAGGTCCTTGTAGCCCAGAACAGGTGGTTTATTGATAGGAGTACCTAAATAAAACAAAACCAGAAATAAGAAGTTATCACAAAGAACAGCAAACTGCTTCTTCCATTCCTTTAGCACACATTTGATTACTAATATCTTTCTACATTTTAAAATCTGTATTTAATAGTTCTAAGATACGTCACAAGTCCGTAGTTTCCAACCACCAATTAAGGCTTCACCCTCTTTTGAATGCATCGCTTATTTCTGGGTGGTTTATTAGCATACTGGCACCAGCTGCCTGATAACTGTGATTTCTCGACCTCCTTTTCAGATTTGTGCAATAACCCTCATTCAATTGCCTGCATCCCACTGTTCCTCTCTTGAGCAGGGGGGACAGCCAGAATTGCAGCAAGCTCTACAGAACGCCTGACGAATGCTGGAATATAGCAATGTGCGAAGAGATTAACTCAAAACACTGTGGGGTCTGAAAGGAATGGGGAAGAAGAAGGACTGTTGGATTAGAAAAAGATACACAGGCAAATTGTCAGAATGTGAAAAAGCACAAAGCCCTAACAGGACATGAATATTTGGGACAGTTCTGGGGGAAAAAAAAAAAAAAAAAAAAGAACTCAAATCACATGAGCAGCAATGATACAAAGAACAACAATTAATTGCAAAAGGAGAAACCAAAAGTGACCTGGGGCAAGTGGCTGCGTACGTAGACAGTATTCCTCCTAGCAAGGAAAAATATCAAACCTCTTCCCTGCTGCTTCTCATCTTCATGCAATTATATTTGGAAACATGAATATAATTTTATAGGACTTTGGGAATACTGTCATGATTACACGAATCAAAACATGCATACTGAGAGAACAGAATGTAGAACAAATCTCGTGGGAACAGAAATCTTGCTATAAGGACAGAGAAAAAAAACCAAAAAGTAGACAGGCAGGGGGAAAGACCCGGTCCTGAAGAAGTCCTGTACAATGCTCAATCGACATACTAGCTCAAAGAATAGTTTCTGGACTGTGTCTGCAAATTCAGTGCACAAATGCTTTTTTCTTTTGCCTCTGGCATGTCTCTGACATGATCCCTGTTTGGTTTGTAGTCTAAGAGTGCTTAAGAAAGGGAGTGAGGAAGGAGGAAAACAGGAAAGGGGGAAGAATCAGGCTACTAGAAAAGAAAGAAAATTGTGGATTAGTGCAGCAGCATAGGGATTTTTTTTCCCCCAACACAGCCTCTCACTCCCCCAAGGCAGGTTATTCTCCAGAAACGCTCGTTATACACAGGTGGCCTCAGAATTATATTGGATGAGCTCCAGTATACTTTGCTATAATACATGATCAATTTCTAAACCTGTGATAAGCACTGGCAATATCTCATTAACAGGGACGCAGAGCCTCTTTTACAAAGGTAACTTGATTTCTGCCCCCCACCCCCACTTTTAAAACCCAAGGAAAAAAAAAAAAATCAGGGAAATATTTGGATGCTACATGTACTTTACATTTTCCTCTTAGCTCTGGTTATTTCAAATTCAAGTACATAAGCAGTTGCTGTACTATATGCTGCTATGGAAATATCATTCAGGTAACTTTTGTCAAGGAAGAAGAAAGAAAAAAGAAGTAAAAAGGCAGTAGTTGCACTTGTAATCTACCTCCACCAACGTTCTTGCGGGATTAACACGGTATTCAAATTGAAATAGTGAGTTCATGAGTAAAATGAATAAAACAAATATACTCTAAAACATAAAACTCTTTCCAAGCTTAAATATCCTTTAAAAAAAAAGGGGGGGGGGACACGACAACAGGACACAGGGGGTGCAGCCAAGGAACAGAAAACCTTCCATTTTAGTGTCAGTCTCATCACAACTGCAAATGTGAATGGCTTATGCAACAGCAGTTCTCCCAAGTCAGCAGGTACATCCTGCTCTCTATACATAGCGCACGCACTTCCAATATAAGTCTTACACCAGGACTTTAACTATTCCAATTAATAACAGTCTCACCTAATTCTGTAAAGAGGAAAAAAAAATAAAATATGCTATTTTCTTGTTCTAGCTACTGGACAAAGTAAAATCTTTTAAGTTGTCTCTTCAGGTGAGTATCACTGCTACATCTGCGCATGATTAAGACAGCTCTGCAAGGAGACTCGAAGATGGCACACCTCCCATTCTCTGCTGGTTGAGTTTCACCATCCATGAATAGCCTCCTCAGGTTCCAGCCTGAGATTAACAGCAGCACAGTTCCCAGCCATGGCTGTCACAACAAGAAATCAACCGAGAGCTTATTTAGCAGGGATTGTCAACATAAAAAAGGTTTTGTGAAAGCAAAACAAAAACAAAACACCTCAGGGAGGATTTGGTTTTCCTTTGTGCACTGTGCTTCAAAGTACTGGAAGCAGACCTGCCACATGTGAAAATGGGTAAAAGTGTTTGTCCTTCCACCAGACTAGCCATCATCCTTTTTCACTGACATGATAATATGCTCGTAATGACATTCATTACATTTAAAAGCAATTTTTAAAAGCCATTAAAAAAGTGGACTAAAGATTAAACTAAAAATAAAATAAAATGAAAAAAAATTCAGTGTTACCTCTGTCTTCCATAAACTTGTAAAGCTGTTGGAGGAAGTTGTCCCTCTCTTCAGGATCAAGCTCTTCCTCAGGCTGTGAAAACAAATGCAGTCATAATGAAAACATAAAATATGCAAAGTAACAATTTATTTGTACAAAAGCCTAACAGCAAGAACTAAACCCAAACCACTTCCCATTTGGCCCTGCACCCATATAATGGTGAAATACGCAGAAAACAAAATTTACTCAGGAGACTGGAGTCGGCACCTCAGGAGGAGAAAAAGAAAATGCAGGGAAAGCCTCAATCCATAACAGAAAGAATGTGTGTGACCCTCAAAATGAAAACACTAGTATACTTAACGTATTGTTCTAATACAGAAAAGGTCTGTTATTTACAAGACTGAAGCAGTTCACAGGAACTCTAGGGTTTTTTTGTTTGTTTGTTTGTTTGTTTGTTTAACTCATCTTCCTTACCCCAACTATAGCTAAGGTTGCAGAATAATTCTTTCTCCAACCATTCCTGTTTTTGATGCTCCAGACACTATTCCTTTTGTGATTAAGCTCCAATGCTCGATTTCAGTTCATATTCGGAAACACTCTTACAGTCACTTCCATAATTCCCTGAACACGTATTTCCATAACTTATTATTATAAATTCCTTAGTTTTACCTTTACAACTTACATCCTCAGAGAGAAACACTTACGAACTTTATGGTAAGCAGACCACAGTATGAAATAAAGATTTTATTTTATTCCGGTGGAAACCATGAAAATAAAGTACATTTATTAGGGGGAGGGAAATAATTTCTACCTATCTATATACACTTCATGGAATTGTGAGATGCTAGCAGAGACCAAGGGGGGGGGTGTGTGTGTGAATCTTTTCCCTGCAATGCTTTACGCATGCCACTTTCTTCCTGCCAGCCTGGCAATCACAGCGATTGCTGGTAAGGCAGTTTGCACAAGGAAGACCGCAGCTGTCTTGAAGGAAAGATGTACAGTACGTGTCAAAAAACCTTATCATTACATTATTAAAAATAACATAAAAGTCACAAGTAGTTCCAGAAGGAAACCAGAATAGCAATTTCAATTTCAGTCATCTCTGCATTCTGTAAACTTTAAGCTTCAAGGCAGGAAGACAGGCAGTGAAATGTAAATGTATATGCTACTGCCTTCTTAACCAGAAAGCAATCTGCCCAGCCTCATAATGAATTTCAGCCCTGCCTGCTCCAGTGAATTCTGAGCTCCAAAGCCCAACAGGGATCACCTACAACCAGGCAGAGACAATATCTGTTTCTTATTTTCCTGTTTTTTCTTGGGAAATAATTTGAGGAAATTAAATGAATAATCACAACATTGTACAGCATCGGTTACCATTTGCTCATACTGCATATCGTAGGGGTTATATAAAGAGTTATCTATAGAATTATTATGTTCTTCCAGGTTAACAAATGAATTATTGCTATAGAAACCACAGCTTTTTTCCTCTCCATCTAGATTGCAAACCAACTTCAAGATCGAGAAATTTCTACCATCTACTGTAATGTTTACTGATTAAAGGCAATACGACTCAAACTATGCAAACAAAATACATCTAATAACAGTAAACATTCAGAAATATTTCTGAATAGTTGAATTCAAACCATTTCTTCTATGCGGGCATAATGCCAAACCAGAACTGTAGGTCAGAACAGCAGAAATGTAGCTTAGAAACAGCACTCTTGCAGACAGAATGTTAACCATTTCACTGATACCAAGTATGTTCAATTGAAGAAAAGCACAAAGAAAAGATGAAAAGATTTTACATACTCAAAGGACCAGGGCATAAAACCTGACTGCAATATTCATGCACCTATGAGAGACATCCTGAATCCTGTACCTACTTCTCTGTTGACGGTATAGGAACCGAGTTGCTATACCTTGAGAAAGAGAGTCTGAACCATGCCTGAACCATGGTACCGATGCCAGAGCAGACACCAAATCCTTCTGAGAGGTGACTTGAATAAGACCTGAATAACTGTCACCAAGGAACAAATCACGTATCAGCTATTTCAAAGTCCTTTTTTGCTACTGACCAAAATCAGAAAGACCAACCCTTCACAGATATGCTAACTGAAACATTAAGATGCATGGATTTTATAAGAGGTTATTTTTTATCAAGGTTATCTATTGTAACTGGACATAGTGAATTCCCAGGAGCGTCTACTGCTATAAGTTAGAGTTGAGTTTTATTTTAAATACATCAATCATCACCTCAGCTGCTGTATCAGCAACCTTAAATTTGCATGCGAAGTGAAGAAAATACCTGAGAAATGTTGATGCCACAACCTGCCATCATCATCAGTGAGTGACTGGAGAGCCAAAATTCCCAGCATCTTGTTTCAGCAGGCACTGGGGCGACGCTACTACCCTCCAAAACTCACCCCTCCTATCCAGACACTTATACCCATTTTAGACTGGGCATAAGTAAATTCACAGTGACAACTGTTCAAAATCAGTTTTCTTAGGAGAGTTCTGTCTCTCCATTTCATTTTTTTCCTATACAGATGTTGCAAGAAAGGGAGACTGTAGCTAAGTCCAAGTGAGAGGCAAAACAACATGAAAGTTTTAAGTGGCAGGAGTTCAAAATTGAGACTTTTTTGTTGTTCATCCAACACCCGTAACTAAATGAAACAGGAGAATTTTTTTGTTTCAGGGAAAGAGGCTGAATTTCATTAAAAAAAAAAAAACACCACAAACTCCAATATGCCTTTTTTTTTTTTTTTTTGCTTATAATTAAAAAGTTGAAGTTTTATGGGTTTGAGATTTTCTTCCTCCTTTCTGACTAGCAGGTCACATCAGTTAGAGAATATTGTAAACAGTAAACAATGGAACCAACAACGAAGATAGGTTCTCTGTATAAGGGACATACTCCTTTCCCAGCTCAATTTCTAATTGCCTTCCAAGTAATACTAACAGTGTTCAAGTATTTTGTAAAATTATTTTGAGAATAACAACCAGCAAATAAGCACAATGTAAAACCCACAGAAACTTGTAGAACACTTGTAACTGGCTTTGCTTCATTTGGTTTCAAGCCACTTTATTCACCATGAGTTTTGCCTCTGTCTTTAGCATGATTTTAAACAAGAATATAGCGCTGTTACCCTGACTCATCCTTTACTCTACAGAAAGATGTTAAAGCTTCTGTGGATGCTAACCTGTAGAGCTGAGTGGTGGCACAAAGGATGAAACAGTTGATTTTACAAACCAAAGAATTAATCTCTACTTACAAGCACGTACACCACACACTCAATCAATACAGGGCTCAGGTACCAGGGACAGATCTTTCTTTTATGTTATTAATAGACTGACAATACCATAAACTCCTCTGTTAAATAAATGCAAGCTAAGAGGAAGAACAATGTGTACAGGATTTGGAGTTCAGAAGAGTATATGATCAAGACAAGCTGCCAGAATTAGAGTTAATGTAATTTTGTTGCTTCAGAGTACTTAAATGCGTTTTCATCGCTTGCACATTTGCTTTCTGATGCCACGTTTGAACACTAATTAAGGAAATGACAAGAATTAAACTGATTGCAACAAGTTAACAGCTTTACACCATGTGGAGATGAGAGTGGCCTTAAAATTGTTCATTTCTACCAACAGGAACCAGGAATTCAACTATCCTCAACAATGACTCACTCTAGAGCTGCGCCTCAGTTTGCAACTTCTTTTCTCCTCTTTGATGAATATTCTGAGAACGCCTGTTAGCCTAAAATTGTGAGCAAGAAAGTCTTTGTGAAGAACATTTGTGCATGGTAGGCCATGCTTCACAGTAGCCAAAACTCCTACAAATGCATGCACGCATGCATGCAAAAGATGATTAGCTAATCAATGTTTAGCTATTTTTTTAAAGGCTATCCTACATATTATGCATCACAGCTGCTTAGGGTTTGTTTTTTTCTTTTAGTATATGTAAATAAACCACTTGTTTCTGGATACCATGCTTCATTAACTTTGAAATGACTGTTTTCCTGTGTTTAATTTTTAGAGTCAGCTTTTTCAATGTTACATTAAAGTGCACATAGGTTGCAACAGAAATGGACAATTCATGTATCGTTTTATGTGGTCTCCCACAGTCACTTAATGAAAAGACTACATGGGAAACAAGAACTACTTTGAAGCAAAATGTAAATATTTTAGTAGATGACTACTGATCATTTGCAGGAATCTTAAGCCTCCTAAAGCACAGCATGGACTTCATATACTCACCCTTCCTTTATTAACTTAGTGCTAATAAAATATATGGTAATGACTTATCGTAAGAACTGAAATCCTTGCTTATTTGCAGAATAGGTACACTGGAGAATGCTTCTGGCATTTTCCCTGCTCAACAATGTAAAGCAACTCTGATCGATGTTTCTTGATGCTGTTGTGATGCAAGAACCCTAAAAAATTCAAATGAATGCACACTATTAAACATACTACAGATGCATCCTTCAGGTGACTGTCAAAATGAAGACTAAGAGGAAATTCCTCTAAGCATACACCTGGAGGTGCTGTAACTCTTCACTGAGAGGCATGAAGACCAGGTAGCTCGAGTTTTTTTCTGAACGTTTTTTGCATGTTTGATTGGGGGGGGGGGGGGGGGGGATGGGGGGGGGGGGGGACGGACGACAAGAAACTGCTATTAACATGACACAGATAAGCTGGAAGAGTCTCTCAAAGATGGCGTTATAACCAATTCTACAGGTAAGACAGAAATCCCTTTTTCCAGCTCTTGATATTATAAAAAGAAACAATTTTGAAACTTGTAAAATTCAAACTCTAAAGAACAAATTCCTTACTTTTACTCTGCTCTTATGTGAATGTATCTATTAAGAACACGTACTGAAAATACATTTCAAATAACCACATGTTAAAATCTTGATTCTTGTGGAATCAGAATGGCCTACAGGGAGACTGAGAGACAAAACCAAATGTTGCCTACGTGTTCCCTCGTGAAATGAGGAGTATTTGACTATTCAATCCTGAAGAACAAATAGGTGTGATTCCTTCTCTGACAGAACAACTTAAGTACAGGGAAATACAGTAGCATATATAATCTGATTTTTAATAAAAATCAGGTAATGTTCCAAAAGCTTCATTTCTATGTGGAGATACTGAGGTTTAGATTTTCTTTCCTTTTAGCTGCAGTGCATTCTTTGACTGCCAAACGTATCCTCAAAACACAGCTAATTCTCTTATTCTGACATGTTGAAAACTGGGTAAGAACCAAAAGCAATATCCAGATTTTTATCTCAACTAAAACCAATGGCTTGATTTGATAAATTTTCATTTGATAAATAATTTTTTTGTGTAGTAATTCTGGATTTTTTTCACTTTTTGTGACACAAGCAATATCTGTTCTGTTATTCAGACCTCACATCGTGAATGAAAAGTAATCCTGAGTTGCACCATATAACAATCCAACAATTTGAACATGCTGAGCAACTCAATGTAACGCAATCCCTGTTAAAGTCAATGACAAGCGATTTCCACATTTTCCTCCTTCGTAGTCAACTCTGGACCAAGCAATTCAGTTACCAGCGATGAGGAGGATTAGCATCTCACCACCACCACCATATTGGTTCCCACTCCTTAGTTTACAAAAGACATCAAAGAACAACCATGTAAAGCCTGGAAATGTTGTACCAATTCTACCACACTCTTAAGATGTCATGAAAGGCAGCACAATTAGAAAGACAGTCTCTGTCAAAACAAAGTTACAGATTTTAACCCAGCCACTGGGAAAAATGGTAGGATCTATTATCACCAGCTACAGCAGGTCTCTCTGCTCCATTATCATTATAAAAGACCCTACTTCAGAAAAACACGATCCTTTTCATTCCCAGAATTAGACTCTTCTGACTGACTTTATGCTCTCATTATATATTAAGTAGGTCTGTGTCCATTTGATTGATTTGATGAAGGCCTATCATGGCTGGTCAGCAGCTGGCCAGGCCTTGACAGCAAAGCTGCTGTGCATTTCAGAAGATGGGGGTGGGGGAAAAAGAAAAGATAATTTTAAAAATCTCCCTCCCATCTCCAGTAATGTAACAATTTGCAGTTCTAAAACAAAAGGTCCACTGAGAATATTCTGGCAGAGGATGGACAGAAGCTATTTTGACCTTGATTAATAAAGGAGAAACTCTACAAAATGTTAAGTGCAAAATTTGAGTAATTCAGCATTTGTAGTCAAATAAATGCAAGGCAATATCATTCACTTGTCGATTCTCTCTGCAACCTGTATTACTGCCTTTCTAAGGGAAAAGAAAAAAGAAAAAAGAAAAAAGAAATTATGATAAATTCCCTAAATGCTCTCTAATTGTAATATCTAGCATGGCCCACAATTAGAATATGTATCGTAACAGTTGAATCAGGAATTTGATTTAATGGGCCGGAATGACAGTTCTGCTCTGACATAATCTAAAAAGATTACTATCTATCCTCTGCTACATAGCTTCAGCATGAAGATGCTCACCTTATTTTTACATACCTACTTGTCACCTGGAAATAATGGATTCTACAGCTTTTCCTACCAGCACATCTACCTGTCTGGAATCCTTTGCTTCACTACTCTACATTTAGATTATTCTTTAAAAATAATCTCTATTTCTTTTACAGGAATGTCTTTTTTTTTAAACGACCAAGCTCCCCCCTCCCCCTTCTTTGTTTGAAACACACAGTACTTTTATGCAATAGCCATGAAAAATGATATTAAAAATGGATACTAGAAAACTAGTATAGCAATCCTTGATTTTTACTGACTGATATTCTGCAATTTTAACCAACGTTAATACAAACAGACCAATACAGACTGCAACAGTTCACACCCTGCAAAATGTGGCCTATTCGGTCCTTTTCACTGCAAACAGAGGAAAAAACCCAGAGGATTTTATATTCTGCACACATTTATCCTGATATTTACCTAATCATACCATTATTCTCACACAGACATCTACTCCATTTTCCAGAGCACTGTTATCAAGGCATAAAATTAACACCTAAAAATAGATTCTTATTGTCTTTTTTTTTTACCTGGAAGGATCTACCCTGGCTGCATGCTCCACCAGACAGTTCCCAGATCAGAAATCTAAGTCAAATCCGCATTCTTAACGACCATGTTAACATTACAGATTAAAACACAGAATCCTTACCTAGGAGCTGCATTCTTTCAAATGTAAAATGGTTTTACTTCCTTTCTATCTAATCTGCCCACTGCCTGGACATATTTCAGCCTGACTTCCAAATATTTGCTGGCTTTCTCTCTCCCTGCACGGCATCCGCAGTTATACGGCATTACTTACATTCTCTTCCATATAAAAAAAAAAATTAAAGGGGAAAAAAAAAAAAAAAAATCAGACATTACATAAAGAAAAAAAAAAAAAAAAAAAAAAAAAAAAAAAAAAAAAAAA